CGGATGGCGCCTCCCCTCCTGCCGTGCTGGAGTCGCACGTCCAGCCTGCTCCTGCGAGGGGCTTCGCGCCACTTCTCAGCGCCGAGGAGGCTACCTCGAGTCCGCTCCGCCTCCTTTCCCGAGGCCATGGATGGGGTCCGGCGCCTGCGGCACCAACTGAAGATGAAGGTCGTGGCCGCTCCCCACCACCAGCTCCGAGGTCAGCCTCCTGTAAGATCATGGCTTCTCCGTCAGGTGGAGACTGGCTACGCAGGGTTCAAGTTTGCCCGGTCTCTGCGGCGATCTCCCCAGCCCAGTCCTCGCCTGTCACTCCCGTCTTCCAGGCAGGGATTGCTGCCCCGGCCCCTGCTCACGCTCCCTCAAGCTTGTCGCCGCTCTTTGTACCGCTGCAGCCCGCCATCCTTGCTGATCCAATTGCAGTGGCTCCCAGAGCTCTAAAGAACCGGCGCAAGACGCTCGCCGGCATCACTGGCTTCAACCTCGGAAGGTGTAGCCCAGACTCAAAGAGAAGCAGCAAACCGTCCCCATCGCGCAACTGGCTGAGCAGCTCCTCTACCGCAGGTTGGGGATTGTTGCTGATGGTGAGCCTGTCACGGAGGCGGCCATTGGCAGGTACGTGGAGCTGTTCAAGGGCCAACTCCCTGACATCGCCGTGGCGGCTTTGCGAGCCATTTTCCAGCTCGATTGCGACCTTGCTACTGCCATTGAAGATGCTCTGATTGAGCACGGAGGTGTGGCGGCTCCTGAGCTACAGGATGGACTTGGCGGCGCCTCGACCTCATGCTGATCCTGGGAAGATTGCCTGCTGCTGGAGTTAATTTGTTGCCAATGTTAGACAACTACCTGATTAGTGTAGCCATTTTAGTTCAGCGGATGGTCCCAGTTTGTACGCCTGTTTGTCCCAGACCATTGTTGTGTCTGCTGGAGGTTGCCTTGGCGAGGCGTTGGCCATGTGTGAGGCCTTTATCTGTAACTGGGAAGTGCCCTTTGATATTGAACCTTGTCTGTTTCCTATTCTGCTCACAACGATGTTTGTCTAGTGCTCAATGACAGATCAAAGCCACAACCTTGTTGTACTGAACTGGAACGTTCGTGGCCTAAACTGTCCTGCTCGCCGTGCGACCGTTCGCGAAACCATTGCCGCTACTCCTTGTCACCTTATATGCCTCCAAGAAACTAAACTCGAGCACGTCGACTCCTTCATCGCAAGCTCCATCGGTGGGCAGAGGCTGGGTAAATTCGCCCAACGCCCTGCTGTCGGCACCCATGGTGGAATCCTGATGCTCTGGGATGAGCTGTCAGTGAAGGTTGAGGATGTTCATTTCGGCGTGTACTCATTGTCGGCCAAGATTACCCTAGTGAGCTCCGGTCTCCCTTTCAAGATCACATCGGTTTACGGCCCAACTCGCTCAAACCTCAAGGATGCCTTTTTCCAAGAGCTCATTCTGGAAAAACCACCCCCTGGGGATAGATAGCTTGTTAATGGAGACTTTAACCAAATACACCGAGCCCGGGACAAAAACCGCCCAAACGCATGTCATAGGCGGATTCTTAAATTCAGATATGCTCTCAATGCTTGTGAGCTTAAGGAAATCCATGTTCAAAACCGCAAATTTACTTGGAGCAATGAATGAATCAACCCTACCATGAGCAAACTGGACACTTTCTTCTGCAACGAGGACTGGGACATCACCTTTGCTAATCACATCCTACACGCGATGTCTTCCTCCCTCTCCGATCACTGCCCTTTGCTCCTTGCCAATGCTGATGGCCCGGTCCGTCCTAAGACTTTCCGCTTCGAGAACTTTTGGATCAAAATGCCGGGCTTCAAGCATGCCGTCCAAAAGGCTTGGAACGATCCTTGTCAGGCCCTCTTCCATAAACTCAAGACGACTAGTCGGAGGCTCCGTTCTTGGAGTAAAACCATTTTCTCCAGAACCAAGGTTCAGCTACATATGGCTCTGGATGTCATTCTTCGTCTCGATTTCGCCCAAGAGTGCAGACGGTTGACGCCGGAAGAGTGTGATCTTAGGAGAAGACTAAAAAGAAGAGTCATTGGGCTGGCCGCTCTTGAGAGGGCTCGCAAATGGCAAAGCTCCAGAATTACAAGCTTGAAAGAGGGGGAAGCCAACACCAAATTCTTCCACCTTCGAATCAACCACCGGAGGAGGAAAATTTTTATTCATAGGCTCAAACAGGGGCCGGGCTGGGTCACCTCCCATGAGCATAAAACAGTGATTGTCCAGCGGCACTTCTCAGCCATCATGAAGAAGGGGCTGCCGAGGAAAAAGGACTTCAACTGGGACTACATCCCGTGCCGAATGCGGATCTTTCTGAACTGGGGGCTGCTTTTACCGAGGAAGAGATCAAGGCAGCGGTTTTCGACCTGCCAGGTGATAAGGCGCCAGGACCAGATGGTTTCACTGGAGTGTTCTTTAAGGACTGTTGGGATATTGTCAAGCCGGAGATCCTCAAGGTGATCAACCTTTTCTCAGACTTGCGCGTCAGCTCACTGCACTGGCTCAACTCCGCAAACATTGCGCTCATTCCAAAGAAAGACGGAGCAGAGGACATCACAGATTTTAGACCCATTAGTCTCATTCACGCCATCGCAAAAATTATTGCAAAGATGATGGCCTCTCGCCTTGCGCCTCACATGAACAACCTTGTCTCCCCTGCTCAGAGTGCATTCATCAAAAAAAGAAGTATCCATGACAACTTTTTGTATGTTAGGAACCTTGCCAGGCGACTGCATCGCAACAAAACCCCATCTTTGCTCTTCAAGTTGGACATTAAAAAGGCGTTCGACTCGGTCAGATGGGATTACCTCATGGATCTGATGCGCCATCGCGGATTCCCTATTAGATTTCGGGATTGGGTTTCGGCCCTCCTCTCCACGGCTTCCTCTAGGGTGCTACTCAATGGGGTTGCGGGGGAGCCGATTAAGCATGGCCAAGGGCTAAGGCAGGGAGACCCGTTTTCTCCGCTGCTTTTTGTTCTCGCCATCGATCCGCTTCATCATATCCTGGCAAAAGCGACCCTTCAAGGAAAGCTACACCCAATTGGCAGGCGATCTCCGGCTATCCGAGCCTCTTTGTATGCCGACGATGCTGCTATATTTGTGGCCCCATTCAAGGAGGATATCCAGTTCCTAGCAGACACTCTGAACTCCTTTGGTGAAGTCACCGGTTTAGTCACAAACTGTTTGAAGAGCAGTGTCGTCCCTATCCATTGTGCAGCCGTGGACTTGGACGAGGTGCTGCATTCCTTCCCGGCTACCAGGGCTACTTTCCCATTGAAATACCTCGGTTTGCCTCTTTCGGTGTCCCGTTTGAAAGCTGTCCATTTCCAATACCTCAAAGACAAGGCGGCTGCTAAACTCGTCCCGTGGCTAGGGAAGCACGTGGCTTTGCCTGGCCGTGCTGTCTTGGTCAAGGCGGTCCTCACTGCTATTGCCATCTACTCTATAACGCCGCTAGAGCTCCCGGCTGAGGTCCGGGAATATATTGACAAGCTCCGTCGGGCTTACTTGTGGGCTGGCTGCGACAAGGTGTCAGGCGGCAAGTGTAAAGTGAATTGGGAGCTGGTGTGCAAGCCCAAATCACTCGGTGGCCTTGGGATTCTAAACCTGGAGAAATTCGCTTCGGCCCTTAGGATTAGATGGCTTTGGCTCCTCTGGACCGATCCATCGAAGCCCTGGATTGGTCTGGGAAACCCATGTACCGAGGCGGACAAGGTCCTCTTCGCCACAGCCACGACCGTCACCATTGGAGATGGAGCTACTGCTCTTTTTTGGGAGCCCTCCTGGCTTGACGGTTGGAGGCCGAAAGATGTTGCTCCCAAAATTTTTGAGTGTTCCAAAAAGAAGAAGTCGACGGTTCAGGAAGCCTTGCAAAACAACTTCTGGGTGAGTCAAATTAATCCGCATCAAGGTCTCTCCCTGGAACACATTCAGCAGTTCGCCTCCCTTTGGGAGAAGATCAGTGCCACTCATCTTGTGGCTGATGCCCCTGATAGGATTACTTGGAAATTCACTATGGACGCCACCTACTCAGCAAAGTCAGCCTACAATGTGCAATTTGAAGGACACACGCGCTCGCCCATGCATGTGACTGTTTGGAAATCTTGGGCGCCGCCGAAATGCAAATTTTTCGCCTGGCTCGTGATGCAAAATAGAGTCTGGACTGCTGATAGACTCGCGCGCCGTGGATGGCCAAACTGTGGTCTCTGCCCCCTCTGTATGCAAACCGGAGAATCCCCCACGCATCTTCTTTGCCACTGTCGTTTTTCTGTAAGGGTGTGGTGCGACATTGTCCAATGGCTTGGGCTCCAAGATGTCATCCCTACGGAGTGGAGCACTGCTACTTCCGTGAAAGATTGGTGGCTCCGGATCGCCCAATCGAGGGCCTCTTCGCGGTCAGCGATGACCTCCCTTTTGATGCTCGTCTCTTGGGAGATTTGGAAAAAGCGCAATGCGAGAGTCTTCCGCAACTCGGCGACCCCCACCGCGGTGCTAGTGCGAAACATTAAGGAGGAAGTTAGATTATGGGTGATGGCGGGAGCGAAAAACTTGGGCGTTGTAATGCCGCCAGAGTGATAGACTTTTTTTACCCTCTCTAGGGAGCCTTGTCTTAAACCCTCTTCTTTATTAATGAAAATGGCAAGCCTTTTGCCTTGTTTCAAAAAAAAATCTTCCATTATCTACCATCCATAAAGGAACCAGTGTGACAAAAGAACAAGAGTCGGCAAAAACCTCTGTAGCATCCCTGCGCGTAGAGCAAGCATGCCAGCTTTCACACAAACAGCCTTCAGCTGTGCACCGTTGAAATCATCAGTTGAACGAGCCAGCTCCTCAAAGTTGACATCAGGATGTACGTTCATCTTTCTTGAGTCTACAAGATAGAACGCAGAACAAACTTCTTTTGAGTCCACAAAACCAAAAGGTAAGCAATTTTTTGCAATAGGAGTTGTCAGCCTTTAACAAATTGCAAGAGACATACTTACAAAATCCTAGCTCTTGCTTCTTCTGTCGGATGAGGGAACTCAATCTTGCGGTCCAGGCGACCAGAACGGAGTAAAGCAGGATCGAGAATATCTGCACGATTAGTTGCAGCTATCATCTGCAAGTCACAAAACAACAACGTGTTCAGGAAACAGGATGAATAAAACATCTGATCAGGTTCAGGTATTCATCATCTCTCAAATTATGACAAGCCAATTTGTGGCTACTCATTAATCAATCAAATAAAAAATCCATTTTATCGAATTACTGTTTTCAAAACTAGTTAGGCCAAACCATCAGTACAAAAGAAATTATCTTTACAGGTTGAGCTTGCATGCATTCAGATTACAGAGAAAAATATTAGGACATGGTGACCTTTATCCTCTCAGCACTGCTAAATCCATCTAGCTGATTCAGCAACTCCAACATGGTTCGTTGGACTTCTCTGTCACCACTAACTTCACTGCAGTCAAATAGAAAAAGAAAAATACAAACAATATCAAATATATACTTCCCGGTAAAAAGATCATATCTAGTTGCAAGTAATCAATATCTTAACCCTGCATTAATAGGTTAACAACATCATCACATATGATATGCAGCATATGCTGAAAGTAGTTAAGATGTATTTATCTCTGAAGTATAAATCATGAGCAGTTTCTCTTATTTTACATATGATGACATAGAAGGTTGATGGAGTGTTCAACTTGCAGGGATACCAACTGATTTTCTTCATACAAAGATTATACCACGGTGTTCATCAGACAATTCGCCAAATTAAAAACAAGAGTAACGACATAACGAGACATACTTCAACCACAATAGGTAAAGAGACACTAAGCATTTACGCTGGACTAACTAAAAAATCACAACGCTTATGGTACAAACGATGCATGCAAAATAAAAAATGCACCTGTCAAAACGCTTTGTTCCAATTGCATCAATCTCATCAATAAAAATGATGCAGGGGGCCTTCTCCTTTGCCAGCTCAAATGCATCTCGGACGAGCTTTGCCCCGTCACCGATGAACATCTGAAACAATTCACAAAATGTTAATATCTGACTGAAAGATATCCAGAAGAACTAAAAAATGCTGGACCCAGGAATATTACAGATGCAAATGGACATTCTAAGTTTGAACCAGCAATTTTAGATGCAAGTCGATATTCTATGTCTTATCCTGAGCCAATGATGCTAATCACTATTAACTACAGAGTTATAAGGATTACAATCAAAGTTCATTTGAGTGTGAAGAAAGATACAATCATCTTAACAGAACTGATCATAGTCTGCAAAGCATGCCAAAGCAGTGTTCAATGATTGGTAGAATAAGCAGCTAACCCTCGAATAAGTCAATCAGCATGACATCTAGTTCATTAAAATGAATAATAATATGATATTGCACATTCTGCTTTCAATGACTTTAACATCAAAAGTTAGTTACCTGGACTAGCTGCGGACCAGCAAGTTTCAGAAAGGTTTCATTGGTTTGTGCAGCACATGCACGAGCCGTCAATGTCTTTCCCGTCCCAGGTGGTCCATATAAAAGAACTCCTTTCGGGGGACAAACTCCCAACTTCTGAAATTGCTCCTTGTGTGTCATTGGCAACACTATAGCTTCAACGAGTTCCTAAATCTGCATTAGAAATTAGACAATTACAAAATCAGAACACGAGGGAGCGAATAAAAGCAAACAATTATCAACTAAAAATATTCTGACGTAAGAACTTAACATTATACTGCCTACAGAAAGATAAACTGGCAATCAGCCTATTGTTTTCATCATCTAAAATGTGAAGTAAATACCTCTTTCTCAAGGCCACCAATGTCATTATAATCCTCCGTAGGCTTTTCATCTACCTCCATTACCTTTACTCGAGAGTCATATCCCAAAGGTAGCGTGTCTAATATCAAGTAGCTGTCCTTGTTGACTCCAACCAAATCACCAGGCTTGAGGTTGTCAGGGTCAACAAGCCCAATCACAGGAAGGAATAAGTCTGCAATCAAGAACAGAAAAGGAACGGAGAAGCCTTGAGCAGCAAGTCCAACTCTTTACAGCACGTAAATAAATTGATTCTCTAAAACAGCAAAGATTGCCCAACTAATGAGATCCATCAAATGGTATGTGGAAATAAACCATGTCAAGTTCCAAACATCCAAATTAAAATAGTCCATATAGGCTCATAAATGAAAGGGTTGTTATGGATACAGATAAATTAACCAAGTAAAATGCTGTACGCAGGCAGGGATAGGAATATTGATGCTGCAAGGTACTAGAATGTGATGTCTGACATAATAAATTCAGCTACTTGTGATTGATGTGTCATGGTATCAACTCCCAGGAAAACTTACACAGTTAACAAGCCAACCTCAGGTGAAATATAAAATGGTGGTGTTTATAGCCTATAGGAGAGTTCTCAAAATTAAAATCTACTTAAGAATTTTACTGTGTGTTTGCAACTAATGGAGAAGTTCCATGGTGTCAAAGATTACAACACCTGCTCTCGTACAAAGTTACCTAACTAGGACCCTGAGACTTGATGATTGTACCAAACCTACAACACTGGCACATCCCTAACTTGTGTTGTACTCATTGGCTCTCCAAAATATAGGCAGAAACACTAAAATCGGAGACAACCTGAACACACACAACTAATCAACCATGGAGCATCTTTCCTCTCTGAGTACTTGTTTCTATGGCACCAACCACCGGCATGCCTGGGCTACATCCACGACAGTTCATGCATATACAGTTGGAGTAGATGTAGTAACAAATACTAGAGATGTAAGCACCACAGCAAGTTCGAGCAAATTTATTTACCTGTCTTGTGGATGTCTTAAGAACAACACATTTTCCTTTCCTCTGTGAGTCCAGATCTATATTAGCACCATCCTCTCCAGGTTCATTTCAAAAATCTGAAATAGTTGATAAATTACGTTAGTAGATTTCCAAGTACAAATGCATCTGAAGTCAAGATATTTATCAGCAACCTGGCAAACTATAACCTTGAAAATATCAGTTCTGAGTTTAAGGAAAAGACAAAATGAGTGCAGCAGTTTATCCTTGCCAGATAAGTTATCAGAAGCTAATGAACAACAGCACTGATACACACCAACTGATTCCAGAGAGCTACCACATAGCAAGCAATACAGTTGCAATTGATTTACTACCTCCTAGATGATTTACAAGGTTGATCACAAGAGAGAAATTGGCGTGTAACTATGTGTTTCTGTGACGTCAAACATTTCCAGCAAACTAAACTAGGGCGTACAGTCACTGACCCCTCATCAATCAGCACGAACTGAAGCTCAAAACTAGAGCATGTGAAGTCACACGCTACTCTGGGCTACTAATCTGGCTTGCACGAACTAATACTGGATTGGGGAATCGTGAATCCGGCATGAATGAAATCGGTACAGAAACCCATAATTTCCGCATCCAAATCGGTACAGAAATCCTTGACGGTGTTGCCGACGAGGTAGGGCAGCTGCTTGTTGAGCTTGATCATCTCCTGGTTCTCCTTGATCTTGTCCCTGACGTTCTCGAGCTCCAGGTTGTTCCGCTGCAGCTCGTCCTGCACCCCCGCGAACAGACAAACTAGATCAGGCGGCCCTGGACCGACGGGACGGGATAGCGGCTGCTAGGGTTCGGGGGAGGGGGGGCGTACCTTGAGGACGCGGACCTCGTTGTCGAGGAGGCGGGTGGCCCGGACGATGTCCTCCGTGGACATGGAGTCGAGCTGGTCGGTCTCCGACGAGTCGTCGACGGCCATCGCGGCGGCGCCGGCGTCCGTCGCGGGGGTGGGGGAGGACGACAGGACGCTCTGCTGCGGCCTGGCTTTGGCTTTGGCTTGAGCTTCAGGTGAATGAAGATTGGTACTATAAAAAATGATGTTTTGTTGTATAAAAATAAAAAATACATAAATGTAAAAAGTGTCAATATAAATAACTAGAGAAAAGAGCCAAGCAAAAAGAAGAGGATCGTTGTTTTCCTCTCGTCCCTGGCGGCTGGAACCCTAGACGCCGCCAGGGGAGGCCGATCTTCCAAGGCCGTTCTCCGGCGGCTCCCCTCCGGCGGCGATCTTGGTCGTCGGTGATGAGAGGGGTCGCCAGATTCACGCGTGTGGGTCATTTTTACTCCCTCGCAGTCTAGTTTTTTAGGTTGTTTATCTTCTTTGCTTCAGCAGCGACGATGACAATGTTGAATAAAGATTCTTCTGATTCTTCCCTGACGAGGCTATCGGTTCTATGGTTGAGGATGAATTTAGAAACCAGTCTGTTCAAGTAAGGATGGTGTGACGGCGGCGGCATCCTTGTGGTGGACCTGTGTCCTCGGGCTCCGCCGTTGCGACGGCATTTGCTCACGCGTCGGCGTGGAGCTTGGGAGGTAGTCCAGGAGCGGATGCAGATTGTGGTCTGCATCAACGACATCTGGAAGACGGAGCATGTGTTGGGCTCGTGGTTCGTGGATGGCAGGTATCGCTTCCTCCTTCGGCGTTTTAGTCGTGGTGGGGTGCCTGATCTGGAGTTCGATGGCGTGTCCGGGGTGTTGCCCCGGTCTGATTCGTTCAACGGTAAGGGCTTCACTTTCGGTGAGCCACCTTGAAGGTCCGCAAAGCTGCATATCAGCGGTGGAGCCGCGTCGAGCTCGGGTGAAGAGGTGATTCATCATTCTTTTATTTAGTGGCTACTGTGGTGGTGCCGGAGGCAGGTGACGGGCATTGATATCAAGCTCAGAGATGTTCTGCCATCTTTTTAGTTTTGTCATGTCGGTCTTTACGTGACTTTTACTTTATTTTTTATAATATGAATGAGACACGTATTATCATGAAAAAAATAATTAGAGAAAATAGAACGAAAGATCCTATGTAGTAGAAGATTGCTTCTCCGGCAACCGTGCTAGAGAGAACTTCTTGCTCCAGGTAAGTTGTCTTAGCAGCAAATGTTTGGTCCCCAAGTGCAAGGGCTTATATATAGTAGCCATGTTATCCCCAATACAATTTCCTTTATAATTATAACCCTAAAAAAACTTCGCCTATAATTAGCCTGACATATATGTCCCATCTGTCTGTGGCTAATCTCTCTCTCTCTCTCTCGTGCGAGTGAACATGCGACTCCAGCGACCAATGCCAATGTGAGAGCGAGGGTCTAACGTGCGCAAAGCAGGTGGCATACGACGGCGAGGAGTGGGCGACCTGTTGTTGTGGCTTTCCCTATATGCGGAACCGCTAGAGATGCTCTTAGATATGAACTTCTCCCCACTGTCTGACTCTTCTAGAGCCTAGAATACGTTATATGAGCGCATCTGAACATTTCAGTTGCTACTTGCTCGAGTAGCTTTGCCGTCAACATTAGCTCCTCTTGGCCTTCCAGATCTGACTACAAAATGGACCATGAGCTTAGCAAACTATAGGATACCGTTGCGGAGGGAATTGATTGATTAAAATTTAGCTTGATATCATGAGAACCATAATTAAAAAATACATAATACTTATTTTATTTGATTATATATAGTTGTAACAACATTTTTTGAATATAAGTAGAATAATTAAATGAAAAAAAACGTGCACGGTTGAATGTTATGGTGGATCTTTTCTCATACATGATTAAATATTGTGGTGCGTCTCTTCCAATACTACATAGTTGCATGTTAAGGTGGATCTTATCCTATTCATAATTGTATTATGAGTTGGCATGTTTGCATGTTGAGATAAATAATATAGAATAACAAACGACAGACTGAGTTATGCCCAGTTTGTATCAATTTTGAGCGGATCTCAAGCTAGCTTCGAGCATAAGACGAGGGAAGATCTATTTATCTAAGGCTAGTTTTCAACTATATAGACCACAACAACATCATAAGAAAGTCACTATAAAATATTACTCTAATTAACACCATGCTAGTATAAATTTATTCAAAGTAGCTTAGCTCATTCTCTCTCAGCAGGAAACTGTTATTCCAGTACCTAATTTTAACACATGACAAATATCTAACTGTGATAACAAATTACTGGCCAAAGATCATAAAAAGTTCTAGCATAGTGCGCATGTTGATGTCGAGCTAAAATCGAGTGAGGTAGTGTTGGCTCACGATTGACTCATTTTACGGTCGAGCTACACAAAACGTTTGTATTTGGCTCATTTCTTTTTGAGTCGACCTCGTTGGGGGTGAATATCTGGTGCACCGGTGCTTGTGGTGCTACCGGTGCACCGAACTCACATTGCACTTTTAAAATGTTCAAAAAAATATGAAAACTATTTTGCACATTCAGACAACATCAACATGGGTTGTCACAAAATTTCATGGCAAAATTCGAAAAATAGCTTGGAAAACAAAAATGACAAATTCAACACTAAATAGTATATAACATAAGATGGGCTTTAGATTTGGCCCATTATCACACTAATGTCAAATTTGTCATTTTTGTATCTCAAGAAATATTTCAAATTTTGGTACAAAATTTTGTGACAACATACTTTAATATTGTGTCAATGTGCTAGATGTTTTTTTTCAGATTTTTTAAAGTGCTCTAAGGCATTCGGTGCACCGGTAACACCACAAATGAAGGTGCACCGGATACATTCCCTTGTGGAAAGAGGTAATGATGGTGATTCCCCGGCATGCGCTTCATTTTTTTGTGGTAGGCTCGGGGCCTTGGTTGGGCTTTTCCACAGGCAGCCTAGCTCGATGTTGGGTCGGGCCTGGTTTGGTTGTCTTTCTCCTACCTTTTTTCGTTATCTTTTTCGGAAAAGGGAAACAAAAGTATAAATGACACTGTGTACCCAAAACAAACGCGCTCCCAAGGTCCCCTACGTCCCTTTTCAAAATTAAATTGTTTGAACGTAGATTTAGATCATTTACATCCATGATTGTCTAATTTGGCTCCATGTACGTTCGTAAGCGCGTCCAGACAGGGTCCGAGCGTATCCTCTTTGAGCTCCTATTTGTCTGTGTACATAGCATGTCTCATAAATTGTCCGTACACATGCATGCTGATTGGTGGGTGGTTCATGGTCCCACTAGAGAGAGAAAAGAAAGAACAAAAAAGAGAAAAAGGTGGTCCCGAGCCGGCTAAACCAGGCGTGATGGACTGCCCGGACATGCCCAGACAACCTCATATGCTCCCCCCTGTACGGGGCGGGTTCGGAGGTTTGCGGACAACATACACTTATAGGGATAAAGTGAGGGAAAAAATTATATGAGACCAAGTCTCACGGGCTAGCAGGTGAGACCCACCCTGATGGATGACACGAGGCATTCACGAATCATAAAAGCATCTAATCTCCCCCCCCCCCTGATTTAAGTGGGGGGTGGGGTAAATACTTTAAGTGGGGGTGGGGTAGATACTTTATGATTCGTGAATGCCGCGTGTCATCCATCAGGGTGAGTCTCACATGCTAACCCGTGAGACCTGGTCTCATATAATTCTTTTTCCAAAGTGAGGGGGTCTAATATGGTACTCGTTTTTACTTTCGGGTTGTTCGCTTGGGCATA